AGGTTGAGCATCCCAAATCTGAAAATCCAAAATCTGAAATACTCCAAAGTTTGAAACTTTTTGAGTGCTGATGGATTTTAGGATTAGAAATGCTCAACTGGTAAGTATATAATGCAGATAGCCCCCAAATTTGAAAAAATCCCAGATCTGAAACACTTCTTGTTCCAAGCATGTTAGATAAGGGCTAGTCAACCAGTATGTACAGTTTTAAAAAGAAAGAAAAGCCAGGTGTGGTGACTCACACCTGTAATCCCAGCACTTTGGGAGGCCGAGGCAGGCAGATCACCTGAGGTCAGGAGTTCGAGACCAGCCTGACCAACATGGAGAAACCACGTCTCTACTAAAAATACAAAATTAGCTGGGTGTGGTGGCGCATGCTTGTAATCCCAGCTACTTGGGAGGCTGAGGCAGGAGAATCACTTGAACCCGGGAGGCAGAGGTTGTAGTGAGCCAAGACTGTACTATTGCACTCCAGCCTGGGCAACAGAGTGAAACTCCGTCTCAAAAAAAAAAAAAAAAAGATAAAAATAGAAAAAAATACAAAGACGGGCTGGGTGTGGTGGCTTATGCCTATAATCCCAGCACTTTGGGAGGCTGAGGTGGGCAGATTACTTGAGGTAAGGGGTTCGAGACCAGCCTGGCCAATATGGTGAAACCCTGCCTCTACTAAAAATACAAAAATTAGCCAGGCGTTGGAGGTGTGTGCCTGTAATCCCAGCTACTTGGGAGGCTGAGGTGGGAGAATCACTGGAACCCAGGAGGCGGAGGTTGTGGTGAGCCAAGATCACACCACCTGCATTCCAGCCTGGGCAACAGCGAGACTCCATCTCAGAAAAACAAAACAAAACAAAAAAGAAGACAGCTGAGCCTGCCTTAGACCGCTTGGTGTGGCTCCTGTCCTGCCCGCTTCCTAGCCTCTCGCCCAGGGCTAAGATGCCGTTTCTAGCAGCAGAGCCCTGGAACCTTGTGGCAGGAGGTGAAGGTAGTTATGGGGTGGTGGGCAGGGGTTCCTTGCAGAGGCTGAGTCCTCTGTGATGTTTGGGGTGAGGGTCTCAGCTGATGGGGGACAAGGTCTCCCTACTGCTGCTCACTACAGGCTGTGGAGGAAACAGCACTGTTATGGGGCGGTCCTGCCTGATGACAGGAGGTTCCGTTAACTAAGCATCCTGGCTGGACCGGGCCTCGGGCCATATTCAAGCCCCTGAGCCAAGAGTCACACCTGGACAGCAATTCTCTGGCAAATAGGTATCATTACCTGCCCATTGCAGGGAGGAGGTGGATTTACTGTGAAGCTCATGAGGTGACCCAGCACTTACACGGGCCCCTTCCAAGTCCCTAAACTTAATTTTTGCTTCATTGAAGTAGAACTGACATACAACAGACTGTACATGCTTAAAGTGGACAGTTTGATACATTTTGACAGATGGAGGCACCTGTGAAGCCATCACCAACATCAAGATAATGAATATGTCCATTGCCTCCAAAAGTTTTTAACCTAATTTTTTTTTTTTTTTTTTTTTTTTTGAGACGGAGTCTCGTTCTGTCGCCCAGGGTGGAGTGCAGTGGCCAGATCTCAGCTCACTGCAAGCTCCGCCTCCCGGGTTTATGCCATTCTCCTGCCTCAGCCTCCCGAGTAGCTGGGATTACAGGCGCCCACCACCTCGCCGGGCTAGTTTTTTGTATTTTTTTAGTAGAGACGGGGTTTCACTGTGTTAGCCAGGATGGTCTCGATCTCCTGACCTCATGATCCGCCCGTCTCAGCCTCCCAAAGTGCTGAGATTACAGGCTTGAGCCACCAGGCCCGGCCTCCCAATTTCTAAATGTCTTAGTCTTCACAAAAGTCGGGGTTTGCTCAGGTACAGAAAAGTTCAATGAGACCAGGACAGGACGGCGCTTTGAAAGTTACGTCAGACTAATCAGAAGTATAAGGTTATTTGCGTGTATTTAACTCACTCCTTTGTCTGAGAATACTAAAACAGTTACGGGACATCTGACCAGCATCTTAGCATTCATTCCCTTGTCATTCAGGCAGCAAGTATTTATTGAACGCCTACAGTATGCAGGCAGTTTTCTAGGTGTTGGGTATAAAAAAGTGAATAAATGGACCAAAAATCCCTATTCACCTGGACTGTGGTTCTGATGGGGGTGGGGGCACAGATGGTACTGAAATAAGTTAGATTATGTGTTATGCTAGAAGGTGCTGTGGAGAAAAGGAAAGGCGGTGGGTGCCAGGGTGGGCAGGTAGGAGTACGACTTCAGCCCTCGGTGGGGTGGTCAGGGAAGAGAGAGTGGCACCCGAGGGGTGCAGGTGGTGTGGGACTCTGGGGCCGATTGTTCCCTGGAGGAGAAACAGGAAGCACAGGGACCTTGGTGGGGCAGGTGTGGGCCTGGTGCATCCCAGGACAGTAAGAGGTTTAGGATGGAGCAGGTAGACTAGATCAGAGAGGTGACTGAACTGGGGTGGCCACATCCTGCAGGGGTTTCCATGCCGTTGTAAGGACTTGGACACCATTAATCTGGGGCAGATGGAAGCCGTTGGAGTGCTTCTGAATTTCGATAGGGTCGCTGCAGCTGCTATGTTGAGCAGACTGGGAGTAGGGAATACACATGGAAGGTGATGATCCTAATGCAAGCCAGAGATGACGGGAACTTGGACCCTGGAAGGTGCGGTGCTGCACAGTGGCTGAATGAATTCTGGGTCTGTTTTGGAAGTGGAGCCACACCAGACTCGTTCATTCGTTCGGCGAGTAGGTGCCAGGAACTGGACATGCAGACTTGAACGGATGCATGGCCTCTTCCTCTGAGCTGTCGAGAGTCTAGCAAGGAAAGACAGACACGGACAACCGATGAGCACACGGTAACCTGTGTGCAAGGCACGGGCCAGAGGAGCAACCAAGAACTGTATCCCAGATGGTCTGCCATCCCCATCCCTCCTGCTACACCATCACCCACTTCGCAGCTCTTGGGAACCTCTTCCTCCCTCATGCTCTTCCTTGCTTGCAGACTAGTCTCTGAACTGGGTTACTTACTTGGGCCTAGAGCATGTTCATTTTACAGAAAAGGAAACTGAGCCACAGAGGGTTCTCACTGAGCCAGCGTTGAGGTCTGTTTCCTACATTTGTAGAAATTTGGAAAAATCTGCAGGAAAAACCTTAAAGGAACTAGATTCAAGAAGAGAAGGCTGGCCGGGCGCGGTGGCTCAGGCCTATAATCCCAGCACTTTGGGAGGCCAAGGCGGGCAGATCGCGAAGTCAGGAGATCCAGACCATCCTGGCTAACACGGTGAAACCCCGTCTCCACTAAAAATACAAAAAATTAGCCGAGGGTGGTGGTGGGCGCCTGTAGTCCCAGCTACTCGGGAGGCTGAGGCAGGAGAATGGCGGGAACCCGGGAGGCGGAGCTTGCAGTGAGCCGAGACCGCACCACCGCACTCCAGCCTGGGCGACAGAGCGAGACTCCGTCTCTTAAAAAAAAAAAAGAAAAGAGAAGGCTGAGTGAAGGTCCTTAAAGGGGAGAGACTTACCGTGCTCCCAAACCTCACTTGTGGAGCTGCCAGGCTCTAGCCTGGCTCGCCAGCTCGCAGGTCTGTGGCCCTAGTTCATTCACCCACTGGTGATGACTTACACCTGAGATGCTGCACGGGTGACTTTAGCTAGACCTAGGGTAGAACTGTCGACCGTTCACTGGACCGCCAAAGCCTTTCCCTAGAACGCTTTGAGAGGAGACGTCTTGTGGACTCAGGGTTTTAGGTGCAGAACAGCCCACAGACAATGTCCCCAGACTCTGATTCTCCCCTCCCTCCTTCCTCTGACACAGGCAAACCTTTTCTGGCCGACAGTACCTCTGGAGAGTAGCCTCTTCATTTGGCCTTGGCATTGGGGAAAGGTCAGCTGGGGGGTCAGCTTGGCCGTGGCCATGCACTCTGGTTACAACCCAGGTGGCCGGCAGCCCACTCCCCTCACCTCCCCCACCATCAGCAGCTGCCTCCTGCGGACAGCCGCAAGCCCTCCAGGCTCCGCAGGACGGGGCGGGCTGGCAGCTGCTCCCTCTGATGCCCGCACTCAAACCCTCTTGCTCTGCCTCTCCTCACCCGCTGCTTTTCTGTATGGTCTAACACTACCCAGGGGTCAAGGGCCACCCAAGGGTTTGCCTGACCACCCAGCCCGAACTGGCCCCTGGTCCTGTGAACACGCCCCTGTCCGTAGCACCCATGGATTTCATTGTGTGGGCACATGCCACTCCTGAACTAGGTGACGCTTTGAGATGAGGAACCCCTTTCCATCATCTTTTTCAATACTGGAAGCCATGGACGCTCTTTGGGGTTTTCCAGGATGCTTCAGGCACAGCGGCAGTCCCTCGGGGGCTGGGCCCATGGGGAGTGCTCAGCCTTCCTTGTTGAGGGCTCCGAGTCTGCCATGGGGCTGCACATGTGCACTAACTGGCTTTTCTTTATGAGCGAACAGGCTCAGGCCTCCTCTCTGGGTCACTAAGTGTCTCCAGCAGTTGCACCCCCCATGCCTGCTGCTGCCTGCAGACAGGACAAGAAGTCTGGACACTCCTACTCGTTTACAGAGGCGGAGGGCACGGTGGCAGTCACACAGGGCAAGGCTGAGGGCCGGGCACCTCCCTGGAGCCTCCCAAGTGTGCAGAAGGCCCCAGGAGAAAGTGTGGGGAGAGGGGAGGAGGTGGCCAGTGCTGAGGAACGGTGCCGGGGGTCAAGGGAGGCTCTGGAACTTCCTCAGGCTGTGTGTGGTTGGTGGCCATGGGCCCTGTTAACCTTGTTCACAGGTTTCAGTCCCCACAGTGAGGCCTTGTCTTCCTCTCGCTGCTGGGAGATCCCTGTGATCCAGAGAGGGAACCCACAGAATCCTCACCCCACAGATCTGCTTAGGATGGGCAGAGAGGGAGCATAGGGCTCCTCCCCCGCAGAAGGTGCCCCGCACCCCCTCACCGCTTCCAGCCTTTTGTCCTCTCCGCTGAGGATGCTGGTGTCTCTGCAGGTCGGAACGAGCTGATTGCCCGCTACATCAAGCTCCGGACAGGGAAGACCCGCACCAGGAAGCAGGTGGGCCTCAAGAGACGGGTAGGGGTCCCAGGGGTGGTACCCCAGCACCAGCCTGCTCCCAAGGTGGGCCAGGCCCTCCCAGGACCAGACGCAGGCTTTCAAGGGGCGGCAGCTCTGGATGAGTTGTCTCTGTTGGGCGTGTCACGGGTGGTCCAGTTTTTCTTTTTTTCTTCCTGAGACGGGGTTTCACTCGTGTTGCCCAGACTGGAGTGCAATGACGCGATCTCAGCTCACCGCAACCTCCGCCTCATGGGTTCAAGCCATTCTCCTGCCTCAGCCTCCCGAATAGCTGGGGTTATAGTCACCCGCCACAATGCCCAGCTAATTTTTTGTATTTTTAGTAGAGACAGGGTTTCACCATGTTGGCCAGGATGGTCTGGAATTCCTGACCTCATGTAATCCACCCACCTCAGCCTCCCAAAGTGGTGGGATTACAGGCGTGGGATTACATGCCCGGCTGGGTGGTTCAGTTTTCTTGGGGTCCCTGCTGTCATCACTTAGGAGGAAACTCCTTCCCTCTCTGGAGAGTCAACAGCCCCCTCTTATCCTTCTCCAGGACACCAGGACAGACAGTAAAACATTGGCACTACTTTTTTTTTTTTTTTTTTTCTTTTTTGAGACAGAGTCCCGCTCTGTTGCCCACGCTGGAGTACAGTGATGCAATCTCCACTCACTGCAACCTCCGCCTCCTGGGTTCAAGCAATTCTCCTACCTCAGTCTTCCAAGTAGCTGGGATAACAGGAATGCGCCACCACACCCAGCTAATTTTTGTGGTTTTAGTAGAAATGGAGTTTCACTATGTTGGCTGGGCTGGTCTCGAACTCCTGGCCTCAAGTGATCCACCTGCCTTAGCCTCCCAAAGTGCTGGGATTACAGGTGTGAGCCACTGCTCCCTGCCGGCGCTGCGCTTTTGAAATATTGCCAGCTTCTGGATTAGCTGGGCAAGGCAGGACTGAGGGCCGACCAGTTGACCCTTTCATTCATTCATTCATCTTGTCCACAGATGTGGATCGAGGGCTGTGGAGGGCGGGGGTCGGGAAGCCGGAAGCCAGGCTGGGGAACACAGGTTGTTGGGAGGTAGAGACCGGAGCCCTCTCTCCCTGCCACAGGTTTCCAGCCACATCCAGGTGCTGGCTCGTCGCAAAGCTCGCGAGATCCAGGCCAAGCTAAAGGTAAGGAAACTGCAGGGTTGGGGGCTGGAGGGGCCAGGAGTGGTGGCTTTCTCCAGCAGTGTGCCTTCCCTTTGGGGTCAGGGCGTGGCTGCTGGTGTGTGAGTCAGTGTGCTTCTCTCTGTTGAGGAAAGCCAGGTTGGGCCTGTAACCTGTCTCCCATCCGCACACGAGGGCCAAGTGGTGGACGCCTGTCTCCCCACACCCTGGGAGCTACAGGCCAGGCTCCTGCTGGGATCCCCCCTCGCTGGCTCCTGCTTAGAGAGGGGCTCACATGGCTCAGAGCAGCTGGATCACCCGCCAGCCCTCATTTCTTGAGGGCGCCTTAGTGCCCTCAACCAGAGCATGTAGAGCAGCAGGGGCATGGGGGGCACCTGCTGTGGGGGTGGGGGTGGCGTTTATGGTGTTGTGGGAGCTGGGGAATTCCTTCCTGCTTCCTGCCCTGTGGGACTGGGGGTTCCTTCCCTTCCCTGGGTCAGCCCCGTCTTGCAGGGCCCCTGCTCATAGGTGACAGCTCTGGGGGGCCTGATGTTGCAGCATTCCCCTCGGGGTAGGGGAATGCTGCTCCCCACAGGAATCAGGCCTCTGGGACCCTGGAACTGGGGGCCTTTGGGTGAACACTAGGAGGGTGTGAGCTCTCCATCAGGGAGATGATGACCACAGAGCCTGCACAGCCAGTCGGTGGGAAGATCTGACATTTGAGGCATTAAGTCTAGACCATTTATAAACGTTTTTATTGATGTATTTTTAGAGACAGGATCTCCGTCACCCACGCGGAGTGCAGTGACGCAATCATAGCTCACGGCCGCGTTGACCTCATAAACTCCAACCATCCTCCCACCTCAGCCTCCTGAGTATCTGGGACCACAGGCAAGTGCCACTGCACGGCCATTTTTTTCTATTTTTTTATAGAGACGGAGTCTCCCTATTTTGCCTGAGAGGTCCATAAACCTTTGGGCTCAAGAGATCCTCTTGCCTTGGCCTCTCAAAGTGCTGAAATTATAGGCATGAGTCACTGGGACTGGCTTGCAAACATTTTTTTTTTAAAGCAATGTAGCCCCTTTCCTTTTTTTCTCCCAACAAAATATCACCCTGATGTGTTATCAGAGGAGCTGTTCTGGTCAAAGCTAGGTTGGCAAGGCTCCTCTCCTCCCGTGAATCCTTTCCTACCTCATGACACTTGGACTCTAGACCCAGAACTACTCCCACGGGCTCAGCTGTAATCCCAGCACTTTGGAGCCGGCGGATCCGTCAGGATCGAGACCCCTGGCTACCGGGAACCCCGTCTCTACTAAAAATACAAAAACTAGCCGGCGAGTGGCGGCGCTGAGTCCAGCTCCGGGAGGCAGGAGAATGGTCTAAACCGGGAGGCGGAGCTTGCAGTGAGCTGAATCGGCCCTGCACCCCCTGGGCGACAGGCAAGACTCTGTCTCAAAAAGCTACTGGGAGGTCAGGCATAATGGCTCACGCCTGTAAGCTCTTTGGGAGGCCAAGGTGGGCGGATCACTTGAGGTCAGGAGTTCGAGACCAGCCTGGCCAACATGGTGAAACCCTGTCTCTACTAAAAATATAAAAATTAGCCAGGTGTGATGGCGCACACCTGTAATCCCAGCTACTGGGGAGGCTAAGGTAGAAGAATCACTTGAACCTGGGAAGCAGAGGTTGCAGTGAGCCAAGGTAGTGCCACTGCACTCCAACCTGGGCAACAGAGTGAGATTCCATCTCAAAAAAAGCCACTGGGCTAGCTGGGCACGCACGCCTGTAATCCCAGCTTCTTGGAGGTTGAAGGCAGGAGGTGGAGTCTGCAGTGAGCTGTGACTGCACCTGTGACTGGCCACTTCAGCCTGGGCAACATCGTGAGACCCTATCTCTAAAAATATTTTTTATATTAAAGAAAAGCCACTGAATTAGATGACCTTGAAGGTCCCGTCTGGCCCTGGCAGTTCATGATCCTGACACTGGAATCTCAGAATGAGTGGGTGGGAACCACAAACCTTTCTGCCTCCTAGGAAGCCACACCCCACTGCCCACTCAGTTCCATTCCTCCTGCCATCAGCCCAGCTGTTCCCCAAGCCCCACAACTGTGGCCTGGCACCTCGCTCCTTTTTCCCTGGGACAGCTGACCAGCCCTCAGCTGTTGCTGCCTGCCTCTCCGCCTGGCTAGTGTACCCTGGAAGCACCCACAACCTAGCCCTGCTCCCTGTTTCCCCTCTTTTGTCCGCCTCTGGCTCACCGGGACCCGCAGATGACCACAGTGAATAGACTTCCCACTGCTGCGTTTAGGGCAACTCCTTGGGGGCCAGCTGTGAGGCCCAAATTTGCCTCAGGGAATTGTATTCATCCTTGTCCACAGGTTCTGACTTGGGGCCCAAGGACAGCCTTCAGTGGATGGCTGGACAGACACCAAGGGGAGCCATAAACTCCTTAAAATATGCAAATTTCCATGTATATGTGAGTTTTCTTGGAGAGATTGCTGTGAGGATTTTGTCATATTCTCAAAGAATCTAGAACCCGAAGTGATTAAGCTCTGGGTTAGAGAGTGATCCGGTAGAAATCCCTGAGTGAGAGGCTGGGTCCTAGGCCTGGCTCTGCCCCATGGCTGTGGGTACTTGGGCAAAGTCACTGGGACCTCCTGGAGCTCTGTTCAGTTTCCTCATCTGTAAAGTGACAGACGAGCAAGGTGATATCCAAGTGCCCCTCCCGGCCCCAGTTAGTGGCTCCCTGGCTCCATTGCCCGGCTACTGCTGTCACTCCCATCAGGTCCTTCCCACTTCCTCCTGACCCCTGCCCTACCCTGCTCAGGCCGTGGTTTCCTGAGCCCCAGCCGTTTGTTTAGATCGAGTGTCCAGGAAGGCAGGCACTGAGCAGGTGCAGCCCCGGCCTCGTGATGCAGTTAAGTGCCGAGGTCTGTGGGCTCGCGGGGGTGCGCCTGCCAAGTCCCTCATGCCCTCCTGCGGGGAGAGGCCGGGGGCTGGCCTGGGCGCTTTCCTCCTGAAAACTGCAAGTGTCCCTGGATGAGACACACCCTTAGACTTACTAGTTAGCTCCCTCTTTGGTTATCAGAGACAACCTCTGAGAGCAAAGCCCAAGTTTGGCCCCAAAAGGACAGTGGGGAGGAGGCCAGGAAGGACCAGGGACAAACCTCATCTGTTTCACTGCTTTGTCCACGTTGACAATGACCCACTGCTCAGAACGGTTCCCCACTCCCCACCGCCCTCTATGATGCGTCTCCCCCGACCCCTTCATTTGCACGGCCCCCTGTGTGCCAATCTGGACCGAGCTCAGCTGGCCACCCTCACCACTCTCAGCACCCTAGTCACCCAAATTCTCGGAGCCTCAGTTTCTTCATCTTAAGGATCCTACTAGTCCTGCCAGTCTCAGGACGCAGTGAGGTCGTGTTCTTGAAAACCTTCCCTGGGCTGCCTCATGCCACTTGGGTGAAATGGTCACCTTGAGAGGCTGAGTGGAAGGGCCTGCTGTGTTCTGGCTCCACACCTGCACGGCACCAGGACGGCAGGGGAGCACTAAGCCTCTCTGAGCCTCCGGGCTGCGGTGCTGCGCGCCTCATGGAGCTGCAGTGTGGACCGTGTCGAGGCATCCCTCCGAAGAGCTTGTGAGGTGCAAGGCTCGCCGTTGCTTCTCAACTTCTGTTTTTACTTTATTTTTTAGAGACTCTCACTCTGTCGCCCAGGCTGGAGTGCATTAGTGCTGTCACAGCTCACTGCAGCCTCGACCTCCTGGGCTGAGGTGATCCTCCTGCCTCAGCCTCCCAAGTAGTTGGGAGGTTCTCAACCTTTGTGTCACTTAAGGGAGATCCGGATCTACCAAGTTAATTATTATTAGTTATTCAATAATGGTTTTATCTTTCTCATTAAAAAAAAATTCATGGCTGGGGGCAGTCGCTCATGCCTATAATCCCAGCACTGGGCGGTCGAGGCGGGAGGATCACTTGAAGCCAGGAGTTTGAGACCAGCCTGGGCTAATGAGATGCTGTCTGAAAAAAAAATAATAATCATAAAGATATTTATGTATTTAATTAGACAGATTCTTGGTCTGTTGCCCAGGCTGGAGTGCAGTGGTGCAATCTCAGCTCACTGCAGTCCCTGTTTCCCAGGTTTAAGCTATCCTCCCACCTCAGCTCCTTGAGTAGCTTGGCCAAAGGCACACACCACCAGACCTGGCTAAGTTTTGTATTTTTTGTAGAGACAGGTTTCGCCAAGTTGCCCAGGCTGGCCTTGAACTCCTGGGCTCAGGCAATCTACCAACCTCAGCCTCTCCAGGTGCTGGGATAACAGGCATGAGCCACCGCTTCCGGCCAGATACCAAATTTCTAATCAGAGCTCCTGAGTTGACTCAGTCGAGCCATTTAGCCCTGATAAAGCTGCAGACAGTGAATGATACTTGCTGTTCCAGCCTGGGTGTGTGTGGTCTTTTGGGATAATCCCTGCTGGGTACAGTAACGCATGCCTGTGGTCCCAGCTACTCAGGAGGCTAAGATGGGCAGATCATTGGAGCCCAGGAGTTTGAAGCTGTAGTGAGCCACAATTGTGCAGTACTCCAGCCTGTGTGACAGAGCGAGACCCTGTCTCTGAAAAAAAAAAAAAAAAGACACAATTTCCATTAGGCTTCTTGAAATAGGGAATGTTGTGTCACTGGTTTTGAAGACCTTTGGAATTCAGGCACTCAGGATGGAAACCACTGGCTTATACGAATATAACAAACTATTACTATTGTTACCTGTGCCATCCACGTGGCTTTCCCTGTGTGCTCATTTGTTCCGGGCCTATTCAGGGTGAACCCATCCTCTGGGGTCTTAGAGCCTTTGGAGGGCAGACAGTGGGTATTTACCTTCTGATCCGTGAAAGACGGGTGAGTCCCAGGTGCCTGCAGTGCCCGGGGAGATCCTTAGGGAGGACCGAGGCAGATCGGGCCACAGGAAATGGTCTGTTGCCTCCGGACAGCCCGTGTGGCCAGGGACGATGCTTTCTGTGCACTTGAGTCGGGATCCAGCAGATATTTATGCTTCGCTTTCACAAGACAAGTGCTGAGCTGGGCACCCGTGGTAGAGAGGTGAGCAAAGCATAGAAGACCCTCGTTCTCGAGGTGGCCCCGTAATTAATAAAATGGCAGATAATGTCTCTCTAAGCTCTGAAGAAATAAGCAGGGCAAGTGTCATGCCCCTTTGACAGATGAGAAAACTGACCAGAGAAACCAGGTGACTTTTTATCAGTTGTAAAACAAGTTAATAGCATGGCACAGACTTAACGCCTGGTCCCCCAGCTCTGGCCACTGGCAGTGAGACAGCTTCCCCGACCCCAGAGCCAGACCCGCCTGGCCTCAGCCTGACTAGTGACCCTGCTGAGGTCCTCCCTTGCAATGTCTCCCCCAGGACCAGGCAGCTAAGGACAAGGCCCTGCAGAGCATGGCTGCCATGTCGTCTGCACAGATCATCTCCGCCACGGCCTTCCACAGTAGCATGGCCCTCGCCCGGGGCCCCGGCCGCTCTGCAGTCTCAGGGGTAAGTGGGCTGCCGAGAGCCGGAGGCCAGGCCAGCCCTCTCCTCCTCCCTCCTCCCTGTTCAGAAGGACCAGAAGCATTGGCCAGCCCAGATTTCTCTCACCTGAGTCCTATTGGCCAGGGCAGTCAGGGAAGGAGGGAACAAGACCAAGGGGCCACACAAGTCCTGGTGTGGCTGATATTGGGATGCCTTTCTTTGGGTCCTCAACAGTGACTGCAGACTTTTCACAAGGGGGAAATGGGAGCTTCCAGGAGCTGACCAACTGGTAGCTCTGCCAAGTTGGCCCAATTTACAGATGAGGAAGCTGAAGCCAAGGTGGCTGAGCTGAAGCCTGAGACCAGCATGTCCCTGGGCAGCCCGTGCCATGCAGCCTCATTCCTGCCCTCCTGCCAGGTGGAGAGCTGGTGCCCAAGAACAAACCCCTGGTCAGATTTTAAATTTCCCAGCCATGACCATGTTGGCCACACTCTCAGAATGATCCAGAAAAGCCCCTTTTCAGAGCTGTCTCCTCGGAGAGGTTTCTTGGCTCCAGGGACTAAATGAGTCTTCAAGGCACCTGCAGCACCACCGTAGGCACGTGAGGAAGGGGCAGTGCCAGGCCACAGCAGTTTTCAAAGTGTGTCCCAGAGAGCACTCGTCCATCCACATGTTAAACAGATGGGACACAGTGGTGCTGTGGGTACGTTCGGGACCCTTGGCACTAAGTGGGTTCTTGGCACTGGGACTTTTCCGAGCCTTAGGTCTGCACTGTGACTCTGCAGGGGGTTGTCCTGTGCAGTGTGGACCACACCTGGGTGCTTTTCCCATGGGGCCTGAGAGTCCCCTGAAACCCACTCTGGGGGTGCTGCTGTGGTCTGTTAGCATTCACTAGCTAGACGAGGGCGAGGGCTCCAGCCTCTCCTCCCAGTGGAGGCCCAGCCCTGTCCCACCCCCACCCCCATGCCACAGGGCCCTGGGTGCACCTGGGGCCATGCTGATTCAATGCCTTTTGCCTCCTCAGTTTTGGCAAGGAGCTTTGCCAGGCCAAGCCGGAACGTCCCATGAGTGAGTATGGCCTGCTTTCTGCTGCCAGTTGCTCCCTGAACTGAACTTGAACTCATAAACTCATGACCTTGAGCCCAGGCCCCAGGGTGTGCTGGGGCTGCTGCTGGGGTCCGCCTTTCAGGATGGCTTTGAGCTCCGGGATCGGGCTCTCCTACTCTCAGGCATCACTGGGCTCATCTGTGATGTCCACACCCTAGGGTGGTATTTGCCAAAACCCCACTCTGTCCAGGGTGTAGGCAGGGCCAGAGCTGAGGTCCCTCAGGGGAGGAGGCTGGGAGTCAGATCTCGGGCTGGCCTGGGAGGAGGAAAGGGAGGGGTGGATTTCTTCATCGGACACGCTGTGTCTGTGACCCACCACGAAACCCAAGGGAGTCGGCAGGGGCGGGAGTAGGAGGCCGAGGCCCATCAAGACCACTGAAATCCAGACCACCAGGACCTACCACACAGAGACCACTGGCCCCAGTGCAGGGATCCGTGGTGGCAGCCTGCCCGAGGCTAACACCTCCCCTCTTCTCTCTCCCGCAGTGTGAAGCCTTTCTCTCAGCAAACCTATGCTGTCCAGCCTCCGCTGCCTCTGCCAGGTGGGTGAGCGCTGCGTGTCTCCCTTGCCATCCATCGCAGCTGTGCGGCTCCGGCCTCTGGGTCCAGGCCCCTGCATGTCCCTGTTAGATGCTGCCCCATCACGCATTCCGACCACACATCCTGGTCCCTGGCCACACCCCATTCCTTGCCCCCAGGAAGCACACCTCAGCCGTGTGCCAAGCCCCTTTGTGCCCTTCGGGTTGCCTTGTCCCTGTCCCCTCCCAGCTGTGCTCAGGGCTTGTGGGGCACATGCCTTCCAAGGGCAGTGCCTGTGCCCGGGTGGCTGCCCCACTTGGCCTACCTTGTTACTGCAGTGTGCCTCGCACACCTGGCTCCTGGGAGGGCTGAGGGGTGTCTAACTCACCAGCCTGGGGCCCCTCCCGAGAAGAGGGACCCTTGTGAAAGAAGACCTGGTGGAGGCAGCCAGCTCTGCCGACAGGAGCCCCCCCCGCCCTCTCACTGACAGGCTCCGCTCTGTTCTCGCCTCTTTCTCGGGAGGGGCCCTCACCACCTCCCACTCTGTAGGGCAAGACCAGCTCCTCACCTTTAAACTGCCCATTCTGGTGTGGACTCTGCCTGCCCAGCCCCTTGGCTTTCCTGCCACTGAGAGCAGCCCTGCTGCCTCCTGCCCCCCAGGTCCTGAAGGCTGCTTTTTCTCGTTCACACATCAAAACGAAGTCACAGCGTCAGGTCCCGTCCACCCTCTGTCTCATGGCAGTCCTCTCCCGTCCACGCTGACCCTGTCTTCACTCCAGGCCTGCTGGCTTTTGCCTGCGTTCCTGCAGCAGCCTCTTCACCGGCTCCCTGTCCCGTCTCACCTCCTCTCGTCACCCTGTCACTCACCAGAGCTTCAGTCTCATGGTGTTGCTTCCAGGCTTAGGGTGCCTTCCTGGCCCCCTGTTGCCTTCAGGACATGATCTAAACTACAGTAGGATGGAGTAGGTTCATCTGTTAGCAGCGCTGGATGGAGAGCCTCTTCTGGGCCAGGCCCTGTTCTGGGAGCTGGGGAGACACCTGTGACGCACACAGGAAACGTCCCCGTCTCTCCAGGGTGATGCCACATTGTGATAGTTGATTCATCTGGTTATTTCCCCGACGGGAACAGAAGTTGCTGGACGGCAGGAACTGAACAGTGCCTGTTCTGGAAGCCGTGGTCCTGCAGGACCCCAGTTGCCCTCCAGAATCCAGTCTTGCTGGGCGGTTCCATGCAGAGTCCTGAGCGGCCTGAGTTGTACCAGGCGAGCCCCTCCCCACCAGAGAGGCTCCGGGATGCCCAAGCCTTGCACTCTCTCCTCCACCTCTGCTAGGAGGTCCGTTTAGGGAGACAGGCGGCCCCCCAGGCAGCACGGGTCTGTCCGAGGAGGCCGGGGGTCCTTGCAGAGGGTGCGGGCAGGGCGGGTGTCCGTGACCAGGTTCCATGTGCCTCTCTCACTTTGTGCAGGGTTTGAGTCTCCTGCAGGGCCCGCCCCATCGCCCTCTGCGCCCCCGGCACCCCCGTGGCAGGGCCGCAGCGTGGCCAGCTCCAAGCTCTGGATGTTGGAGTTCTCAGCCTTCCTGGAGCAGCAGCAGGACCCGGACACGGTAGGTCCTGGCCTGTGCCTGGCTGGCTCCCCGCCACCCCCTCTGCCTCTGTTTCTGCTTCCAGTGCTCTTGTCCCACTCCACACTGGGGCTTAATTCAAGTTCCTTGTTCCTTTATGGTCTTTCCTTCCATCCTTCCCCCGACTCCTTTCCTCCTTCACATCACCCCCTTCCCTCTTTCCCTCCTCCCTGGCCCAGTGCCCTGTTCCTCCCTCCCTGTCCTGTGTTCCTCCTCCCCTCCTAACCCAACCAACCCTTAGTCCAAGGTCGCTGTGGTCCCAGCCCCACCCCCACACTGTCCCAGCCTTTCCCTGGCTCTGAGAGGCAGGCAGGAAGCTGGGGAGTCTCCTGTGCGTCTGCTCCACATCCTACGGGATGCCAGCCTGTCCCCTTCAGTGTCCAGTGTCCTGGGTGACCAGCGTCACCTGCAAAGATCAGAGGGGGACCTGGAGGAGGCCAACGTGACAGGATGCCAGGGCCCTTCTCACTCTGACATCTTCAAACTTTTTTTTTTTTTCTTTTCTTGAGACAGAGACTTGCTCTGTCGCCCAGGCTGGAGTGCAGTGGTGTGATCTCAACTTACTGCAACCTCTGCCTCCTGAGTTCAAGCGATTCTCCTGCCTTAGCCTCCCGAGTAGCTGGGATTATAGGTGCCCGCCACCACACCTGGCTAATTTTTGTATTTTTAGTAGAGACTAGGTTTCACCATGTTGGCCAGGCTGGTCTTGAACTCCTGACCTCAGCTTCCCAAAGTGCTGGGATTACAGGTGTGAGCCACTGTGCCCAGCTCAAACTTCTTTTTAGCTGACGACCCTGTGAACCGAATAGACTCTTAGAAGTTCAGGATGTAAAATAAAAGAAGTCTTTTACCATCTCCATTTCACTCACGGGGAAACTATGGTCCAGAAAGGCCAAGCGGCTTGCGCCGGGTCACGTGGTGGGCATGCAGAGCCGGGGCTGTCTGACCGTCTGGCCTGTGCTCCGCCTCCCTCAGACCCACTCTCTCTACAGTACAACAAGCACCTGTTCGTGCACATTGGCCAGTCCAGCCCAAGCTACAGCGACCCCTACCTCGAAGCCGTGGACATCCGCCAAATCTATGACAAATTCCCGGAGAAAAAGGGTGGACTCAAGGAGCTCTTTGAACGGGGACCCTCCAATGCCTTTTTTCTCGTGAAGTTCTGGGTAAGCCTGTGATAAACTCTTCCTTCCTACCACCAGGGCGTCCGTGGTAGTGAGAATGGGGCGAGAGTACCCAGAGCGTGCCCTTGCCACAGTAGAAACTTGGGGAGGTGGCACCAGTGAGAAGGGGAGAGCAAGCCCAGCATGGCTATGGGGTGGTCAGAGCTGAGCTGAGGAACAAGGCGGTGATCCCAGAGAGCTGGCCTAGTCGAATGAAGCCTTGTCTCGTGGGTGGTGATGGCAGCTAACCCCGGCAAGACGTGGAGCCCTCAGGAGGTGAAGTTCCAGAAAAAGACAAAGGGGACCCTACGGGGATGAGTGAAGACATGATGAGGAGCGCCCTCGTCACCCAGGTCTTTGAATGACAAGTCCTGCATGGGTTTCCGGGCCTGGAGCTCGTCCTTCAGTGCTCATGTCCAGGGCATGTTGGGCTGAACAGAGCTTGGAGAAGGAGAGGGAAGTGTTGGATGGGCGAGGCCACCCCAGAAGAAACACCCACCCAACTTCTCAGATAGCTCAGCCCATAGACTTGGCCTCTGCGGCCCTCCCACCTCACCCCTGGGCAGGTGTTTTGTGGGTAGAACCCCCTCCATTAGAAACGTCTTGTCTGAGGCCCAGAGGTACAGTAGCTGCCCTGGGAGCTTAGCTTCCTGCGGGCCCAGTATGTGCAGAAAAGGGGTGCGAGGAGAGAGTCAGGCAGATAAGTGCTAATGAAGCCAGCAGTGAGGAAGGACAGGAAATCAGGCTCTGTGACTGAGGGTTGGAATATTCTCAGGACATGGACTGAGGTTTTGGTGGCTCTGCCCACATCCCTCTTCTCTTCCCCACTCCCCTTCAGCTCTCTGCACGCTCTTTTCTTTTTTTTTTTTTTTTTTTTTGAGACGGAGTCTCGCTCTGTCGGCCAGGTTGGAGTGCAGTGGCGCGATCTCGGCTCACTGCAAGCTCCGCCTCCTGGGTTCACGGCATTCTCCTGCCTCAGCCTCCCCAGTAGCTGGGACTACAGGCGCCCGCCACCTCACCCAGCTAGTTTTTTGTATTTTTTAGTAGAGACGGGGTTTCACTGTGTTATCCAGGATGGTCTCGATCTCCTGACCTCGTGATCCGCCTGTCTCGGCCTCCCAAAGTGCTGGGATTACAGGCGCGAGCCACCACGCCCGGCCTTACACGCTCTTTTCAATGCCTTTTGTGCAGAGATTCTTACCATTTATTTGCTCCCAGGCCATTTTCCTAATCTGAAAGCTTTACTTTTCCTAGAAAGAGGGGTATTCACACCAAAGTTTACATGCACGTTTGGATGGCTTTGCCAGCTCCCAGTGAGCAGCCCCCAGCCTGGCTCTCACCCACAGCTGAACGTGGGGGCAGGCTGTCTCCAGAAGGGACAAGTGTTGGAACTGAGACCTATGGCCTCTGACCTTCAAGACACTTAGTGTTTGTGCTCAACTAGCAGGATGGAAGTTGGACCCCAGCCTGAGGGATGGGCATATCTGTTGGCAGAGATGGGCAAGGCTGTTGCAGCCTAGGAGTGCATGAGTAGTAAAGGCAGAAGGAAGTGAGCTCTGGAGTGAAGTTGAAGCCGTAGGTAAAGGTATGAAAGAGGGAATAAGAGGAGACAACTGGGAAAGTGAGTTACATTCTGGAAGGTCTTGATCATGCTAAAGTTTGAGTTTTAACCTGTTTTGGAATGAAAAATAAGTAATATTTTATTTTACTTGGTCTTCTTTTTAAATCAATGCATGTTTATGGTTAAAATGTTAATTAATACCAGGAGGCTTATTTAACAAAAAAGAATGAAGGGCCAGGCGCGGTGGCTCATGCCTATAATCCCAGCACTTTGGGAGGCTGAGGCGGGCAGATCACAAGGCCAGGAGTTCAAGACCAGCTTGACCAACATGGTGAAACCCCATCTCTACTTTAAAAAAAGAAAAAAATTAGCCAGGCGTGGTGGCACACGCCTGTAATCCCAGCTACTCAGGAGGCTGAGGCAGGAGAATCATTTGAACCTGGGAGGCAGAGGTTGCAGTGAGCCGAGATCATGCCACTGCACTCCAGCCTGGGCAACAGAGCGAGACTCTGTCTCAAAAAAAAAAAAGAATGGAAAGCATCATATTCTTGTCCTACTCCTCCCCACACCCAAATCCCAATCCCCAAAGGTAATCATTGCAAATTTCAGCTGTTTATTTTGGGCTTTATCTCTTTAGTTCTAAGTAATATGCTTATATTGCTATATCTCGATGCCCGGATTAAGACATTTTATTTTCATTCCACTTTTCCCCCTTATCATCCCAATGTAATAATATCCAATAAGTTATTTAATTTAGCAAAAGTCATAAAACGTTCACATGTTTTGACAATGTAGATTGATCACCAAAGAGCCAAGAACGGGCTGGGTGTGGCAGTTCATCCCTGTGATCCCAGCACTTTGGGAACCCAATGTGGGCAGATTACTTGAGTTCAAGACCAGCCTGGGCAACATGATGAAACCCCGTCTCTACAAAAGATACAAAAAGTAGCTGGGGGTGGTAGCATGCGCCTGTGGTCTCAGCTACTTGGGAGGCTGAGGTAGGAGGATTGCTTGAGCCTGGGAGGCAGAGGTTGCAGTGAGCCAAAATCGCACCATTGCATTCCAGCCGGGTGACAGAGTTAAGACCCTGCCTCAAAACAAAACAAAACAAAACAAAAAGAGTCAAGAAGGATATTATGATTACATTTTTACCTCTTGTACACCTTTTTTTTTTCCTGAAAATAAATGGCTAGGCCGGGCGCGGTGGCTCAAGCCTGTAATCCCAGCACTTTGGGAGGCCGAGACGGGCGGATCACGAGGTCAGGAGATCAAGACCATCCTGGCTAACACGGTGAAACCCCGTCTCTAATAAAAAATACAAAAAAAAAACTAGCCGGGCGAGGTGGCGGGTGCCTGTAGTCCCAGCTACTCGGGAGGCTGAGGCAGGAGAATGGCGTGAACCCGGGAGGCGGAGCTTGCAGTGAGCCGAGATCTGGCCATTGCACTCCAGCCTGGGTGACATAGCAAGACTCCGTCTCAAAAAAAAAAAAAAATAAAAAATAAATAAATAAATAAATAAATGGCTATTGCATATTTTTTAATAAGCCTATTCTTAAAATTTTACAGATTGCTCCATCAAAACCACCATACAAAATTAAATTTTTTCCCCCAAATATTCAGAACTATTAGATAATTTATCCATTTCTCCTTTCTCCTGGAGATCTTCCTCCTGGCTGCCTCTGTTCTGCTCCAGTTTGAACGTGTTATTCTTTTTTTTTTTTTTTTTGAGCCAGAGTCTCGTTCTGTTGCCCAGGCTGGAGTGCAGTGGTGCGATCTCGGCTCACTGCAACCTCCACCTCCCGGGTTCAAGCACATTCTCCTGCCTCAGCCTCCCAAGTAGCTGGGATTACAGGCACCCGCCATCCTGCCTGGCTAATTTTTGTCTTTTTGTAGAGACAGGGTTTCACCATGTTGGCCAGGCTGGTCTTGAACTCCTTACCTCAGGTGATCTGCCCACCTCGGCCTCCGAGTACTGGGATTACAGGTGTGAGCCACCACACCCAACCCGAACGTGTTCTTCTCTAGGCTTGCCCTACAGTTGTCATCCTGAGCCTCCCCTATATTGAATGTACACTTTCCTAGCTCTTGCATTTCTCTCTTTATTGGTGTAACCCCTTCATTTTGTGGGAACACATCCTCTAGTACCTTCTAAGAAAAGATGCACGGTACATAAATGACCTTGCTTCAAAATGTCTTTTGAAAAGACATTTCAAAAATGACTTTGAAATGTCATTATTTTTATTATATCCTTATACTTGACCGATTGGTGTTGGTAGTCTGGGTAAAGAATCTAGATCATACATCATTTTCCCTAGAAAATGATGGCTATTTTTTTTGAGACAGGGTCTTTGTTTGTTTTGAGATGGAGTCTCGCTCTGTTGCCCAGGCTGGAGTGCAGCGATGTAATCTTGGCTTACTGCAACCCCCGCCTCCCAGGTTCAAGCACTTCTCATGCCTCACCCTTGCAAGTAGCTGGGATTACAGGTGTTTGCCACCAGGCCTGGCTAATTTTTGTATTTTTAAGAGAGATGGGATTTTTCAGTGTTGGCCAGGCTGGTCTTGAACTCCTGGTCTCGAGTGATCCGCCCACCTCAGCCTTCCAAAGTGCTGGGATTACAGGTATGAGCTACCGCGCCTGGCCTAGAAATGGTTTTCAAGGATCATTTTTTAATGCGTTTGTCATTATCTTCTGACATAAATAGTCTGCTAGCATTCTAATTCCCTATCCTTTATTATGTAACTTGTTTTTTGTTTTTTGGGTTTTTTTTTTTTTTCCCCTCTGGAAGTTGTAATATTTCTTCTTTCTCCCTAATGTTCAGTTTCACACTGGTGAGCTTTGGGATATGTGTTGTTTTACTTCCCAGTGCTGAGCTGGTTACTTGGTGGTCACTTTTCACTGTGAGATTAGTCTTTCAGTTTTGGGAAATTTACTCGTATTATTTCTTTGATAATTTCTTTCCCTCTGTTTTCTGTTTTCTTTTCCAGGAATCTCTGTTATGATGTTGGAACCCTCTATGATGTTTACCATTTCTTTATTTTCCTGGACTTATCCTCTACAATTTTTACCATTTATTTTCCAGTTTACTTTCTTGGTCTGTTTTCTTAGAGATTTCCTTAATTTTGTCTTCTAACCCTTTTCTGAATTAGTTAAGGTTGTATCCAAGTGCGTATCACACAAACCCCAAAGAAACAGTGGCATAAATAGTTTTTCTTTCACATCAAGGAAAGCTAGAGGTAAAGACTGTCCAGGGCTGGCCCAGCACTCCTGACATCATGAGGGACCTGGCTTCTGTCTGTCTGCTGTCCTCAGTGTATGACTTCTGTACTCAGGGTCTTGACGGCTGGAGTTCTAGCCACTGTATCCATCTTCCAAGCATCAAAAGAAGCCAGTTTAGCTCCCTGCAAGGGGCCTGCCCGGAAGTCCCACACAACACATAATTAG